AAAAAAAAAAAAAAAAAAAAAAAAAAAAAAAAATCACCTGGAAGTCATTTTAAAAAACACAAACTTCAGTTCTAATACAACTGACTACATAGCAGACAGAGGCCCTGGGTGCTATCTTCAGCACAAACTAAAAAGCAAGTAAGTCTAGCAGTCACCACACAGAGAATAGTAAACGTTGCTAGGAAATCCACAGTGGGAAAGAGATGCCGTCTCATCTAGGCGGGTTGATCTCTTCTGATGAAGATCCTGCTAACCCGTTGCTCCTTCAACCCGGCTGCGTCGCTCAGTTATCCTTTCAAGCTTCTTTGTGCTCGGTACCAGGCTTGGTACCAGGTGGAGTCAGGCATTGTCACTTAACCTTTACTGTCATTCTCAGAGGTTCACAGTTATCCCCACAGCCTAGACGGGTGACTCACTGAATCCCTGACAGTCGCTAAAATGTAACTAAAAAGGCCACAGCAAACAGCGCTTGAATCACCCCGGGTACCATCTGAGAAACTTCATGGATACAATGTACTCAATCTCCAAAACCCTAAGTCTTATCACCCTTACCAACCAGGCAGAGGGGAGACCATGGTGCACATCAGCTGCCCAATGCCTCTTGTGTCCAACAAAACCAGCCAAAGACAATAACCCGAAGCCTGAAACTTGACTCAGCTTAGAGCTATCAGAAGAGCACTTACTTGTACAAACAAGGCCTGTGTCCAACCCACAGTACCACAAAACCCAAATCAAAAGTGCACAGTGGACCACAGGTGGGGCCAGGTGGGAAACCCAAGCCCCTTCTTTGTACCTGCTTTGCACACGCTGCTTTAAACCCTTCCACAGGCAACTCCTCCTGGGGTGAAATCCACTCACCTCCAAGTAACAACAGGACGATTACCCGGAGATACTCTGGTTTAATTAAACCAGAGTGGCTGAACCCTGCAGGGGCGGTGGCAGAGGCAGGAAAGTCACCAGGAGTTTGAGGCCTTAGAGAGTGAAACCTTGTCTCAAAAAAAAACAACCTCTAGCAGTTCTGTGCACGTGCACGTTTATATTATACACGTACTTAACTCATGGCATTTATTTCAACCAAGGAGTCCAAGCAACGGAAAAAATCAGAGAAGCCTGTTCACGAAGCCCGGAAGGTGACCCAAGTCCATACATGATCAACACTACCGTACACTATAGAGCAAATACCCTCTGTTTCCAGGTTTCATTTCATGCATCTATTCAGTTTTGGTGTTTTGCTGCTGCCATCTTTCTGCATGGTACTGGGAACCGAACTCAGAGCCTTGCAGGTGGTAAGCAGGCTCTTTACCACTGAGCAACGTCCCCAGGCCTCAATTAACTATGGTTCAAAGAAATCAGGGTCTCTCTGTCACTATCTGGAGGGAAAATTAGCCACACCTGTCTGAAAAGGAAGCACAAAACAAACCACATCCTGCGCTGGGTGGTGCGGCTTATAAAATGCATCATTACTGTATATGTGCCATTGAGGCCAAGGAAAGCCATTACCAGCTATGGACAAAATGCTCTGTTTTCCCACGAAATTTAAGAACATCCCATTCTGAGAGATCGTGAGAAAACATACCTCTTAAAATTGGGGGGTGGGGGGCGGGATTTTAGCTCAGTGGTTCTGCCGCCTCCTTTGCAAAGTGCAAGGACCAGAGTTCAATCCCAGGTACCAAAAACAAACAAACAAATTCATTTTTTCCAAAGCCTGCCGTGAGATGCAATCACATATCCCATTTGGTCTTCCTCCTTCCTCCCCTTCCCTCTTGAGTACTGGGGATCGAACCCATGGCCTCAGGCAACGTCAGCCTTGTGCCCCACCACTGACTGAGCTACCCCAGCCCATCCGGTGTTCAGCGGCAAACCCCGGAGCGCACCAACACAGACGCCGCTCCGCCCCGGCCAGCCCGCCCACAGCCGAGGCGAACCCACCTTCAGGTTGCCTTTGGTGGTAAAGGCGCGTCCGCACACGCTGCACACGAAGGGTTTCTCTCCGGTGTGCGTCCGCTCGTGGATCTGCAGGGCGCTGGCCGAGGAGAAGTTCTTCCCGCACCGTGTGCAGGCATGCTGCTTGGCTTGCCGGCGGGGCTGGGCGGCCAGCAGCGGGGTCATGCCTGGGGACACGGCGGAGGGGCCTCCAAATGTGCCGGGAACTTCCACTTTGACATAGGTGGGCTGCGCTCGGATGAACGGCGAGGGGAGACTGCTGCGACCTGGTATGGGGAAGGGAGAGAGATCCACACCTTTATCATCCGACACCCTTCCACTCTTCCAAACAAAAGAAGCCTTTCAAAACAAGCGCCCGCTGGACAAGTGGAGAACACGTTTGGGAAATTTGTACCTCAAAAGCAGCTTCCCTTGGAATTGCATGTTTGCATCAAGAATAAAGACTAAGGAAATTTTACAGTGTTGGTTTGTACAAAGGTATGGGCCGCACAGGAACACATGCAAGTCAAATTGAAGTTTCTGCATCAAAAGTCACCTTTCAAGTATGCCCAAAGTCACTACCTGTGATTCTATGACACAGCTCTTCCCTTATTTTTATTTTTTGGTACCAGGGATCAAACTTGGGCCCTTGCGCTTGTGAGGCAGGCGGTGGAACCACTGAGCCAAATCCCAGGCAGCTCTTCCCTTATTTTACAACTAATGACATAAACAGGTGCCCACAGTTGATATGTGCACTTGAAGTAGGTTAGTCTCTCCCCCTCACCAGTGATTAATCTGTGAACATTCCGACAGGGAGCTGGACCCCAGAATCAAGCAACTATGGCTCATTTTAGGGAATGAAAAGCAGTGCCCACTTCCCAAAGATACTTCTATTGGGATTTATTTTAAATCGTCAATGTCCCATGGGCTCAAAGGCAAAAATAAAGCCAGGTGTGGTGGTGCACACCTGTAAATCTCAGCACTCAGGAGGCTGAGGCAAGAGGATCCCTGAGTTCAAGGTCAGCTTGAATTAATTACACAGCAAGATCCCACCTCAAAAAAACCAAAAAAAGGCCAGGGATTTAGCTCAGTGGCGCTGCTGCCTGCCTCGCAAGCACAAGGTCCGGAGTTTGATTCCTGGTAACAAAAAAAAAAAAAAAAAAAAAAAAGACAACAAAAACCAATAAAAATTGTTCTGTCCATACCTAATTGACATTAACCATTATAAATCTAAAAAGCGTGTTCACTGCCGGGATAGAGGTAATTATTATGTCCCTCTACCCAGAAGTACAGAAAAGCTAATCGCCCTACAGAGGAGCTGCTTCAGGTCATACTCCGTTTGTCAAGTTCAACCCAGGTTCCTTTTTGATGACCTTGAGCCCAAAACGGACATAAGTTAAATCCAAAGTTCTATCACCTTCCATCTCAGGGCGGCTGTTCTCGGAGCTCTCGGCTTTGACCCCAGTATCGGGGGACCGTGACTTGCTGCTTTCCGCTTGGCTATTGGCCGGGGACAGTGGCTGAAAGGACATGGTCTCCACGGCGTCCGGGCTCCGGCTCGGATACTCCTTGTCGCCCGCAAGCGAGGAGTCGTCGTTGGTCCGCCCGTCGCTCTCCGTGGAGCCGTTCTCTCGGCTGCTCTGGCGCTGTAGGCCCAGGGGGGCAGGGCCCGCTTTCCCGGGGGCCTCCTGGGAAGTCGCCCCTGAGAACCCCAGAATGGGCGATGCCACGTGGGCGCTGGGAGGCGCCGCGGGCACCTGCAAGGAGCCACAGGGGGCCTCGTGGGTGCCGATCTCATCTATATCGATGCTGCCCGCAACATCGTCATGGCCGGTGGCACCTGCACCGTTGCCCTCACTGGCCACGGTGGGCTCGGGACCCGCAAAGTCACAGGGACTCCCCGGCAGGGGCGTGTTGGGGATCTGGCCGCCCATGTGCATGCGGATGTGTTGCTGCAGCATGACTGCATTGGTGAACTTCTTCTCGCAGATGGGGCACGAATGCTGCATCTTCACGGACGTGCTGGTTCGGTGGACCCCGAGGTGCGTCTTCAAGTTGCCTTTGGTGGAGAAGGCCCGGCCACAGATCTTGCATTGGAACGGCCTCTCACCAGTGTGGGTGCGGTAATGCATCTTGAGAGAGCTCTGGCAGCTTAAGACTCGATGGCAAATGATACATTCATTGGGGTCGGCGGTGGCCTTGTCGATGTTCTCCACGAGCTGCTGCAATTTCAGCGTCTCTGACCCCGGCTCAGAGGGCCCGCTCCCAGGGAAGCTGCTAACCCTTGGGGGATTCTGGCTGGGCCCCGCCCCAGGCAGTGTGGGTCTACCCTCACTTTCTGGGGAAGGCCGGGGCTGCGGGCCACCCACGAGGTCCTTGGGGTTGGCCCCCGAGGGGATAGGTGGAGGTAGCCCTACGGGAGGGGTCCCCGTTACAAGGACGGGTTTGCTGTCTAAAGGGAGGCTCGAATCCCCCACAGGGACAGGGACAGAGAGTGCACAGGGGACGCCATTGCCTGCCACCACTTTGTCCTGGAATTCGGCAAACAGCCGGGGGTTTGCCTTCACCTGGGGGTGACGGTGAAAGTGCACCTTGAGGTTGCCCTTGGTGGTGAAGCGATGACCACAGACAGAGCACACGAAGGGTCTCTCTCCGGTGTGGGAGCGGAGGTGGATCTGCAAGGAGCTATCAGTCCCAAAAACCTTGCTACAGTACTTACACTTGTGCTTGTAGATGACCGCCTCATCTTTGGGTTTGACATCCGCCGCGGAGATGTTGGGGGGCTTCCCTTTCCCTTTCTTGGACGGGTCTAGCGCCACAGCGGAGAAAGGGCTCTGGAAGACCACAGAGCCCGGGGCCTGAGGTAGCAAAGCCCCCGGAAGTCGAGACATGACATTCGGGAGCACCCGAGTCCCATCCGGCTTCAGGGCAAAGGGCGCCAGCCCCGGGGACAGGGAGCCATGGGCGGGAGGGACGTTGGCGTGAGGTAGCTTGGCTGGTTTCAAGGCATCCAGAGACAGACCCGGGCTTCCGGCCTTCTGGCTGAGCAAGGCCACGGCGGCAGACACTTGCTGGGACACGTGGCTGCCCAAGGTCTTCAGGGCTTCGGCCCCGGCCACACCCGAGTGGAGGGCGTGCGCGGCCCACATGTTCACCTGGAGCCGGATCTGCTCGGTGAGCTGGATCTGCTGTAGCTGCTGCTGCTGCAGACACAAGATCTGCTCCAGGACCCACGGGATGCTGTTGGGGCCGGCCACGGGCGCGGGGGCTGCATCCGCGCTGCGCTGGTTCACGGCCACCTTGGTGCCCCGGAGCGCCTGCAGAGTCACGTTGGTGTTGGTCACTTTGCCTTTGGGTAAGTAGCTGATGTCCTGCGGGGCGGGCGGCAGAGCGGCCTCCGTCTTCAGGTACAAGACGGACTCCGCGCCCGGCTTCTCCTTCCCGTCCCCGGAGTTGCCGCCGCTCTCCCTGGGGCTGTCCTTACTGCCTGGGCTCTGCGGCTGGTGGCTCCGCACGGCTCGGGAGAAGTCCTCTGAAGACACCGGCCCCTCACTGTCGTTCATGATGAGGACAGGTGGATTTTTAGTGCAATTTTTCTTATGTTCCAGGAGCTCAGAGAGAACAAAGAACTCGGCACAGCACTTGTCACAGACGTGGGTCTCCTCCCGTCGAGGCCGCTTTCCTGCAGTTCTGTCTCCATCCACTTCGTCACCATGGCCTACGTAATTCATTGGGACACCTGGGAGAGGAGAGAAAAAGCTCAGAATTCTGTCCCCAGAAGGGATGCAGAGCAAGCTCATGGGGAGCTGCAATAACTCATGGGACAGAGCTGCAAGAGCTTGGTTTCCAATGGCAACAGAGTATATAATGGAAAAAAAGTCACCAGGGGCCAGGGATTTGGCTCAGTCATTCCGCCGCCTGCCCTGCAAGCACAAGGACCAGAACTTGAACCCTGGTACCAAAAAAAAAAAAAAAGCCACCGACTCTGAATGAATGGGCCCCATTTCTGTTGTAGGTGGATTTGTGTCCCCAGAATGGATACAACCAAACCTAACCAGTCCCCACCCAGACCCAGTGCCTGCCAGCATTGTAAGACACAGAACACGGGGCTAGGAAGGCAAAGAAGCCAAGTGAAGAACTGCCCAGCCGGGGGCTCCTCTGGCCTCTAGGGTCAATCCTGCTGACACCTAAATGCACACATCTGGCCCCCGCACTGTCCCAAGACTCCAGTTTGGGAAAGCAGCCCTAGAAAATGGATGCATTGTAAATGAACGCCACCCTACCCTCAGCACCTCTCTGAGCTGGCTTGCAAAGCAAACAGATCTGAAGCAACAAGCAGGACACAGGAACTTGCTCAGATCACAGCGGCTGGAAAGGAAACCTGCAGAAAATTACTCATGCAATCAATCTTGTGAGCACCCACTTACCAGGGAGGATGCTCAAAGTTTAAAGGCACCAACAGCCATGATGAAAGCACTATGCTCGTTTAAAATATGGAGAACAGAGGCTGGACGCAGTGGTGCACACCTGGACTCAGCAACTCTGGACTTAAGGCTAAACCGCACACACATTTGTACAAACCTACAAAAATCCATCTATCAAGGAAGGTATTTTTTTCCTAGAAATGTTTACAGCAGAAAAGAAGGGTAAATTCTGGTTGCCCTTAGGAAGAAGTGGGAAACAGATAATAAAGTGGACCTACGTTATATATGCTGCTCTACAGACAGCAGCCCAAGAATTACTTCAGAGAAGAAAGGGGCAGAGGACAGGATGCGTATGGAACAAACTCTCATTGGGGTTTGCACCTAAACACATAAATATCTACCTGGAAATTTTGAAATGATACAAGAGAAACTGCTGCAGATGCCCACTTGCTAGAGTGTGTCCAGAAGTTTGGGGTGGAATACTCTCCATTACAAACACTTTATGGACTGAGTGAGACATTTTTTTTGGGAGGTCATGCTAAGGATCAATCCCAGGGCCTTCACACCCGGCTACATCCCCAGCCCTTAGTTTATTTTTTTCCATGGCAAGATCTTGCTAATATGTTAAATTGCCCAGGGAGGCTCAAATTTGCAATCCTCCTGCCTCAGCCTCCCAGAGTTCTGGGATTATAGGTGTGTGTCACCGTGCCTGGCACTAAGGCATCTTTTGAATTAGTATCAAACAAGTCCAAGACACAGCTACTTTCTGTGCCACACTCTGTCCTTTTGTCTCAGCTATTCCACTTTTAGAAATTTCTAAGGCTCATGTTGCTTATTCCATTCCACTTTTTCTTTTCCGGGTTCCAGGGATCGAACTCGGGACCTTGTGCTTGCAAGGCAGGAGGCATCTAGTCTACTTTTTAAGGGTCAAAGCCAACTATGACCACCCTGCTCAAACAAGAACAGAATCAGACACCAGAGTCTTACACCTAAGTGCATTTGTCTTTGTAGCTATTCACTCCCATTTTACAGATGCGGAAACTGAGGCTTAAAATATCCTGAAGTTGCTCGAGGTGACACTGCCACCAAGAATAAAGAGCAAGGGCAGAATTCCTCAATGCTATTTAAGGAGGACAGGGCCGGGGATGTAGCTCATCCTGCTTTGCAAGTACAAGGTCCAGAGTTCAACCCCTGGTACCGAGAAAAAAAGGACAATAAAATGACACTTAGTTCGTGACTGTTTCTTCTACAGCCCATTTCAACCCTTCATGGGTATTTTTAATATTTTCGTCCAATTGCCCCTCTCCCATGAAATTTTTGTGGCACAAATATATACGCTTATATATTGCAGTTCCTCTGTGGGCCCCAGTTTTTATGCCAGTAAGTTTCCCCTCTTCCCACAGTGTTCATCCTTTTGGGGCAGTCCCCTCTCATTTGGTGTATGCAGGCTTCTCACTTGTTTTATTTGATGCTAGAAGTGGAACCCAGGGCCTTCTACACGCGAGCAGGGGTCTCTACACTAAACTACATCCCAGCTCCTAAGGCAAGCCTTCCTGAACTGGGGTCCAGGGGATGAAGAAAACCAAGCTCATTTAACCTCTAACATGAACTAAAAATGACATTTCTTCCTTGTTATTTATTCTTTATTAATAATAAGTAGCATGTCATTACAGTCTGTGAGAGGATCATCTCCAGGATCTCTGCTAGACTGTGGACACCTGTGGATATATAAAATGGTACAGGGTTTACTCAGGAGGCTGAGGCAGGAGGATCAAGAGTTTGAGGCCAACCTGGACTAGACCTTATCCCAATAAATACATAAGTGGAATGTGTTCAACTTGTACATCCTATACACTTTAAATCATCCCTAGATGATTTGTAATATGTAATACAGAAACAAAAATCCACACAGACAAAAGTCAAGTACAGATGCAGTTTTTTCCTGGGCATTTATTTCTGAACCGTGGTTGGTTGAATCCAGAGGCACAACAGGCTGATGCAGCGGGGCCAACCACGGTCCTCACTCTGGAGGACTACCCTGGGGCGTGATCTGTCCCCTCGGTAAGATCTGTGTAGCTTGAGCATTAGGTTGAGAAGGGATCTTGGCACAAAGAAGGTTAAGCTCCCGGTTCTCCAGTCCCCAGAGTGATTTACAGCCTGCAAGCCAGCTGCCCGTGCTGCACACACAAGCCCACCTCTGCTGCAGCCTCCCGCCACACCAGAAAACAGACCACCAGTGGCTATTTGCTCATGCGGTAAAAAGGACTTCGATATCCACACCACCATTGTCAAATACTGAACCCGTATTTGCCGGGCAGTCGAGAGGACCGGGTGGGGAACAATCGCTGGGTATGGGTAAATTAACTCAAAGGAAAAAAGCAAAGTTCAGAAGGATTACGGGGCAACCGGGTCCTCCTCTCCCTCCACCCCACCCCCACCCCGATTTTAGGAATGTTATCTCTCAGCATCTAGTTATCCAATAAGTTGGAAGAATGCAGTAAACCCGGCAGGGGTCTTAGATTCAATCACTGCCAAATGGATAGAAAATACTCTTACTATTGTATAGGGAGAAAGTTAATCTACTAGAGGCCAATCAAATTCTGGAGACACTAAAACGCTTAAAAAAATAAAACCCTGTATATCTTGATAAAAGCATTATGAGTCAAGCTTATCTTCTTTCTCATTCCTATATTAAAGGACAATGAGGAGATTATCTAAGTACACAATATCTTCCACCCTCCCCCACACCCAGGATAAGTGCTTACCAAAAAAAAAAAAAAAAAAAAGAGAGACAATTTTG